GTACAGCGAGATGACCGATATACTATGCTAATTAATTATATCATCTAATAATGAAATGGATGCTGCTCAATCACTCATACGAACATCAAATGGAAAGAAAAGGTACGTTTTGACACAGGCAATATGTACGTGGATAGCGGAAAATTTGATTAAATCATCTGAAATCTCATACAAAACGTCTGATTCATTATTTTGCTGCAAAACTAATATTTGCTTAAGTTAGAAAATCCACTTCTATGTGAAAATAATTATGAACACGAGGACTTTTTAGCGCCAGCCGATTATTCTTTTAATCAAATAAATCATCCATCTTCTCTTAAGTAAACCTATGTTTAAAAACAGCGATTTCTAAAAATTTACATTTCATTCACTCTATCAAAATATTCTCATCAGTGTTAGAATAAAAACGTGTTAAAACCAGTTCTTATGGGTTTTCTTTAACTATACAGATCTACGTGCATTCGTTGGATGATTATATAACTATTATGATTTCAGAATGTTCTTAGAGTTTCTAAAGTTCTCACAGCTCTTAGAGTTTCTTAGGTTCTACAACTTCTTGGAATTATGTTTAGTTTCTTTTGATGTCTTCGTTTCTTTAATGAATGTTTAGGTTTCCAAAATCCAAGAAATATAGAATTTATAAAATTCAACTAAGACTCTTGTAGGATCTTCAATTCAATTCATCTGAAGGAGTCTTTTCTACAATTATTGTAGAAAAATGAAATAGAGATGCGAAAACATTGCCGGAAAATTAGGAAACTCAACAAAATCCTCGGAAATGACTTGAATAATATAATTGATTCTTTTCTTTTAAATAATACTCATCAAAGTCAAAATATTACTCTCGAATTTTCACTATTCGAAGATAGGCAAGTAAAATAACTAAAATAATATTTAGTTGATCCGAACGATGTCTTGAAAATGATCGAAATTTGACTCTATGATAAAGGTAAAATTTACCTGATATCGATGATATGTATCAATGATTGTATTCAGTCGTGTACACACATTACAAACTGAACATAAAATTGTGAATTCATCGAGCTTGTCCAGAATGCGATAGACAAGCTCAACTGGTAATGTCAACAGAGAAGAAAGAACTTTATCAGACATTAACGTTGCTAGCTTTCGAACAGTATGCTTTGTTACGATGGCTGTCTGTTGAAATTTATTTTTCTTTATGTTGATGTGTTTATTCACAATATGTCATCAATCTTCATCATGGTTGTGCAATTTTTTTCTTATGCAGAGAAATGAAACAAGTACAATACGACGAATACAAATTCGTTAAAGTAACTATACATATACGTTTTTTTTCATTCACATTTCATATGAGACTTGCAAGTATGTATTGTTGATTGTTTCTCAGAGTTCTCATTTCTCTTGAATATTAATAAAGAGAAAAGACTACAATAACATCATTCTTACTTTTTTATCATTAACAATACATAAGAATTCTAAAAAAGCAGATATTGGCTCCCTATCCATTATAATATTTAATTCAATTTTAATCGTTTTCGCGAAAGAAAAATAATTCCTAAAATGTTTCATATATAAGGTTGAAATATTTTTTTTAAATCTATGAATCGGAGAAAATCTCTAAACTTTTCTTGAGAATTGAATTCTTCCACTTGAATTTCTAATCCAACAAAAAAAATTTCTCGACTGAAGGAAGGGTCATACAAAAAAAAAACAAAATGCATTTGTTTTTCCAGGCACGTGTAAAGTCACGTGCCTACTTGTATTACTACAAGTTTAGAGTATCTATTTGATGTAATGGCAACATAGTACTGTATCTTTATCCAATCAGGTATTTGTAAGCCGGAAGTTCAGCCAATCAGATGATTTCACCATCTAGTTTTCGCTCAGTCAGACTTTTCGATGCTGAGAGTTCAGGCTGTGTAATGTAGGTGGAAGTGATGGTAGAGAGGAGGGGCGGTATAGGAGTGTTGCGATTGTGGGTATGTGAGCATCGGTATGATTGATTGAACAGGTCAAGGGGAGCACTGCACGGTACACGTACCGAGTAGAGCCCGTCGAGTGAATCTCTGACCTAGACGCGGATCGAGTCCTGGTCTAAAATTTTTCTGTTAACAGGGTCGAGCACTTTGGAATAGATAGTTTCTAACATTCGGACTCATGCATACATTTAATATTAGTATCGACTGGGTTTGTAAACTAGCATATTATACAGAAAGAAGTGAATACTCAGTCGAGGATCAAGCAAGTCTCAACGACGAGCGTTAGTTGTTATTAATTCGTATATAATCTCGACTTGATTATTGTATGTCCTGAAACGATCACTCACTCACTACGGTGTTAATATGCATACTATTATCAATCATATGAGCATTTGCCAATATTTGAAAAGTAAGAGATACTGTCTCGTTTTAGTGTCATCTGATAGATTCCAATGAGATATATTTATTAGTATCAAATATAGCGTGAATCGATATATTTTATAATACAATAACTTTTGCACCATGATTCCACTTGGTGTACTGGTTATTTACGAGTTACATGGGTATTTTTTCAGTATTTCGAGAAAATAATATGTCCTGGTACTTTAATGATGAATTCTTCATGCTATTTGATAGATGTCATCCAGATCTATCGGTTGATCGACAATAGAAAGTGGAAAGCTATTTTTCAGACAACAATGACTTCTATAGTATGACGCTTCTTACAATACTAATCAAACTATTAGATGGACGTTCTAATCGACTCAGATTTTTATACTGAATACGAATCGGATATAGAATTTCGACTTTGACATCGATTAATCAAGACAAAATCAAGAAAAAAAAACTTTTAAAAATTGCATAAAAATAATATGTCCTTTGATTTAAAAAATGTATAATAGCAACATTTGTTTTGAAAACTCTTTAAATCGTGTTGTGTTTTTGATATTTGATTTATATGTCAAAATATGCAGCTTTCGACGGACTTTCGAAATATGTTTTCACTTTGCTGGGACACACGGATAATAATGCTCTTTTAATTTAAATATCTAAAAAAATTCGTTTGAAAATTGATAATAAGTTTTTGTACTTCGACTTTCATTCATAATAAAAGAGGCGATCGAATAAGATCTTAAACAGAATTTTATAGAGCAGATTCTACGTTATTGAATGGTATATAGTACTTGTAGATTTGATCAAGTTTTGGTGAAGATATGGAATGAACAAAAATCACTGAGAAAAAATGGACAATTTTGATAGATTCGAGAAGAATGATTCATTTGTATTCCTTATCTCCTTACAACCATATTGACATTTGACTGTAATATTCTGGCTTTGGTATATATACAGTATGACCTTTCAAACTAAATATTAAAGATCAAAATTTAAAATATATCTCCGAACGGTCCCTATGCAACTGCTGCACGATTCTCTGGCGAAGTCTCTCTCTTAAGCCTAAATGTTTTTTATTATTTCTTTCAACAGTCGAAAAAAGTTAATTTAGTAGCATAGCATCTAGCGATTTGTGCATCGAGTTTACTGTTTTGAGACGATGTATTCAAGAACAACACAAGAAAAAACGTTTTATTTCAAAAGAAGCATCCAGATCAATTAACATTGATGTTATTTTTCACTTGTATTTTAGATGAAGATGCGTAATAATTCTCATACTTTGAAGGTCACCCTAGGTCTCTGAATGAATAATAATTTAGAAAACCAATATCCAACAATTTTTGGCTTTCTCTTATTTTTCTTTGTAGGAAATAATACGATGATACACTTATTCAATGTTATCAATCAGATTAAAATTTCGAAAACAGCTACAAAAAGATTTCGTCTTATGATCGGAATAGAGCATTCAATGGCGCATCTTTTGAAGAAAAAAAAAGATGTATCAAAACTTTTGCTATACCCGGTAAACATGAAGTACAAAGTTTGAAAATAAAAAGTTATCAGAAATATATCTTAGCATTAGACAAATACGAAAACATAAACAATAAATTTTTATCACTGTTTTAAGATAAATTATCGAAATTTTCATTTGTTTTCAATTATTTCAATATTGTTTTTAATATATTTATATTGAATTGATAATAATAATCGAATTCCATTTTATACTAAAAATAAATCCCATTTTTGTTCTATGTAAGAGCTATATATAATTGTTAATAGAAAATTTTTAAATTGGAATTATTAACTGCGTAATTTAAAATCATTTCATGTCAAATTTATTTATGCTTTTTTTGTGAAATTGCATTGCATTTATTAATGTAACTATTCAAAGTACTATCCATTGCCACCAATAAAATTAACATATATAATTGCATTCATTTTTTTCCTACTAAAATGTTGCACACGAGGGAATCACTCTAACTGTAATTCATCGTTTGAATTCATATCGAGCCCACGAGCAGGTCTCAATAAGACCTGAACAAACCTAAAAGAATTCATGTCTATGCACCTCAGAAGTCAAGTTATGACCATGTTACTAAATTTTCGATTCATTTTTAGGTATCTAATGGAAAATCAAGTAATTGAATTTCGATCTGAAATTTAGCTCATCAATAGATCTAGTCTTACGAAGACTTCATTGTAGACTCAATATGAGCTCAAACGACGAGTTACAATTCGAGTAATTTCTTCATCAATGCAATTGAAATATTGATTTTCTCAGCATGTAAAATTCTACATGAACTGTAAAATATATTTTTTCGAAGTTCAATTTTTCATTTCATCAGCTAATTATTTATTTTTACTTGGTTTGAAAAATAATCATTATTTGAAAATTTCAATTTTTCGCAGCAAAACTATATTTCATTTAAAGAAACAATGATTTTATTTTTTATTTTTTTTCTCTAACGAAATATTTAAAAAACAATAATATATACGCACATAAATTCATTATATATTACAGACAAGACAACATAAAAATAAACGAATAAAAATATAAGTTTTTCAACAGATCAAAATTAACTCGTAACGAAAATACATTGCACGTTTAAAAGCAAAATTGAGAGAATATTTTATTTTATATATATATTAATACCACATTAACGGAAACATAAAGAATGGCCACCACATAAGGCTACCTAAAGCCATACCAGTTAATGCACCTGCTGCTAAACCACTACCTGTACCATAACGTAAACCTCGATCAACAAATATAACTGTATGTGTTGATCCATCAGATGCACGATAAACTTGATGTGGATAATCACCTTCATAAACACCTGGATAATAAGCAAAATCATATCGACCAGGTGGAAATTGTATATTATTAAATCGAGCTTGCTGTTGTTGCATACGCTCAATATGTAATTGACGAACATCATCAAATGATGTTTGCCATGCAAGTAAATCATCAGTTGATTCAGCACATAATGTCCATGGATCACCTTCACTTGGTACAAGTTGCATCAATTGTGCACGTGTTGAACCATCGGGTGGTTCAATATTATAGGGAACTTGTTCAGTACCAATACGTAATTCTCGACAACGACTTAATTGAAATACATCATCAGCTTTATCAAATTGTTTATCAGGATTTGACATACGACGAAGGCGAGCATCATTTGTCAAGATAAACCATTCACGCTTCCAATTTTTTAATATAGTTGTACGACGTAATAGCCAACCAGCTTTAACAATATCTGTCATGATATCAATATGAGTATTGACTGTTCTTTTTCTTTGTGTTTGATAACTAATAAATATATAGTATAGTAGTTTTCAAGATGATTCTCGAAAAATGACGAAAGAAAATATTTTTGATTATTATTTGTTTGTATTTTAACCAATTAGAAAATTAATAGATGGCGCTTTAAGTTAAAAAAATTTTTCTTTATCTGAAAATTATTTTCTCCGAAATATTTAATTTATAGTAAATGCATTTATTTGTTTTAGTTGCTACTAAAATTTATAAGAATCATTAGAATTCTAATGGTCAAGATAATAACAAATCGTTTCTTGATGATGCTCAAAAGAAACAATAGTACACTTTGTAAAAAGAAATGCATCCTCTACTTTTCGAGATCTTTAACATTTTTAGTTTCGAAAGAAATAATCTTCATGTGAATAATTCTAGCAACATATCTATCCAATTATTCGTCACTGAATAAAATCAAAGGTATTCAATTAGAATCAGACCTTCATGCTCTTTCTAAATATATATGTATAAAAAAATTTTTTTTTTATTTAATTTTAATTAACTAGAAACACTCATTAGAATTAATCGAAGATGATCTCTGTACAGATGTCTACATTTAGCTTAAAACTGTCTCAAGTGATAATATTAATAAGCTTTCTTTTTATTAAATATTGAATAACTATGCTGAAATCTATTACATTGTATCTCCAAAAAAAAAAATTATATAACTTTTTTGATAAAATCCAGTCTTATCAAAATTATAGTTTTTCTTTATCAAGGCAGATAGAGTCAAGAAAAAAGATTTAAGTATAAAAATTTGGAAAGAGCAAGAAATTCTATATCTAATTGATTATTTTTGATTCATTTCAGTGGAATTGGTGAACGATGAGCATGCAAAAAAAATGATGGTAAAAATTTTGGGTGTGCAAATGGAAATGAAGATATGACTATCACCCATACCTATATACATTCATTGATCTTTCAATAGATGTCATATTTGCCTTCATTTTTTTTATGTGCTGAAATATTCGTGCTCATCGTTTCACGTCCCATTTCAGTAGTATCTAACTGATCAAAATTTTCCATTGAATTAGTTCGAAACTATATTAATAACGATAGCGTAGGTCGAATGAGGGAACTTCACCACCTCATATACTCCGTTTTGAGCTCATAGTGCAGATAAAAATTCTAAAAGGATTCTTTTGGTTAGGCTGTTATTCTCGAGTTATAATCATTTTAATGAATTTTCAGTTTATTTCAGAGTATTACGAGCAAAACCAAATCAAGAAATCTCAATCTGAAATTTCGCCCAAATATATACCTTATGGTTCTTTTAATATATTGAAATTTTTAGCCAAAATACATGCTCTATTATCAAGATAACAACTGTCCGATAAAAGGCCTTTTCTCACCAAAAAATTCGAGAAAATCCGACTTATTTAGCATATCAACATCTTGAGAATAAACCATCCATTTTAGCTGAAATTTACAGGATCTTATAAGGACCATGAGATCTATTTTTAGGCGAACCAAAAATTCAGTAAAATGATCATAACTTCGGAACAGGGCCCTAATGGGAAAGAATCCTTTTAGAATTTTTATCTGCGCTATAAGCTCAAACGGAGTATGTCAGTTGATGAAGCTCTTTCGTGAGTATGTGATTAATTACTGTTTTGTTTATAATATTGATAGATAAAGTAAAATTATGGGTCTTAATATAAGTGGATCTCTTGATCGTGCTCGACATCCTGAACGTTATCCAGAAAAAGCAAAAGGACCTACATTTGATCCGGTATGAAATTAATAATTGATTATTTTGAATCAATGATTTTTTTTTCTTTCGTATTTCTTATACTTTAAGATGTATGGTTTTCCTGATGGTCGAAAACCGAAAGGTAACAAAAAAAAAAAGATTGTTGTATTTCTATTTAAAACTAATAAGCAAACATAAAATTGAATTATTTCTCATTTTTTTTTGAACATTATATAGAACGAAAAAAAAACAGACTGTGACATTATTTTAGTAATATATTATCTAAAGAAAATAATATATCATATCAAGTAAGAAAATTGAACAGTTCGTTTGTTTCGTGGGAATATTACAATCATAGATCACAATAATCCATAGTACTTGACCAACTGAGTTTCTTTGCAATATTCTCTTCCTCATGGTATATCGAATTACTATAAAAATCTCAAAAAATGTCCTTTCATTCTATTACTACTTAGCTAATTTTATGTAAATCATTTATTTGATTGTCTCAAGAGAAAAGAAGATTTTTTTCATCAATAAATGTTGCAGATGATGATGAGTAAAAAAAAACACTGTCGCGCTTTAACAACGAATTCGTTCACTCTGATTGTTATTTGATCATCTTCTATAACGACTTTTCTAAGTCATCATTATGGATTTTTAAAATAAAATATTAAGTACAAATACATGTTGCTGAATTATCATATTAATATCATACGTACTGCAAATTGTTTAAGACTTTCATCTTCGTTGATATTCTCTACTATGTTTAAATTGATAGGAAATACGACTTTCTAGTTCTACGATATTGATTAACTAAATGAAAACTAACAACAATCTCTTTCATTGAATTATAATATTTATTTTCTTACAGCTGCACCATACACTCAAGAAGAAATGCAACTTCTGAATATTCCTCTTGACAAACGTGATTATTGTGCTCATTATTTTCGTGCTGTTATGATATGTACACAACAGTATTGGCCATCACAATATGGATATTGTGAACCTGAACGACATGCATGGGAACAATGTGAAATAAAAAAGTATAACTTATCACATAAATTATTATTATTATTTCAATAATTTATTATTTTTTTTCTTTTAGTAAAATTGACGATGCGAAAGAGTATGAACGAGAATTACGTTTACGTCGACGACGATTACGTAAAGAAGAAAAAGCCCAACAAACCTCAACACATAATGATGAAATTGCTAGCAATGAAGAATAGACAATTAATTTCTTTCATTTTAATAGAATATCCTTAGTCCTTAGACATTATTCCCTCCATCTTTACTCTTTTTTTGTCACATTCACAACAGAACGATTTTTTTTTGTAGAAATAAAAAAGTGTTTGTGACGATACTTCCAGAAAAAAATGATCCCTTACTATTTATTGTTTATCTCTTTATAGTCTTCAATTTGAAAAAAAAGTTATGGACAAAAAGTTTGAAGTATTAGTTGATAGCGCGTATGTATTAGATAAATTATAACATAATAAGATTAATGTTATTTTTATTTAGAATAGAAAAGTTTACAATGGTTGGTGTTGATGTTAAAGGTGTGCTTGTCTGTGATAAAAGTGGATTAATATTGACGAGTAATAAAAAACAAAAATTTTTTTTTGTTTATGGATGAACTCTATTTTGTTTTTCAAGGTAAAGATATTTCAATCTCTCCTGGACCAGTCGCATGTCTTGCTGAATTAGCAGCAACTTTATCAGGTCGAAGAACAACTGTTTGTCTTGAACATAATGAAAAGTTCGGAAATTTCTTTTTTTTTTTGTTTTTATTTATAATATGAATTTAATTCTATTTATTTTCATATAGTCAAGTACTTATTCATCAAACAGATAAAGCTGTTGTTGCTGTCTATACAAACAATGCTGCATGAGTTATTTCTTACAATCTACCTTCAATTCAATTGAGTTTCATTATCGTTTTTCTGTTATAATTGGTAATAATATTTTTTTATCTGGTAATCAAATCAATGATTAGTTCTTTTTTTTTATATCAAATAAATCACTGTATACGATAAATATATGACGATGAAAGTCTTTCGTTTTTTGTTTTGGTTTTAACGACGAATTGTTTCTGTATAAATAGAAAATACTGCTTTACCAGCTTCACGAATAATTATTTTGCTAGAAGCGAGAAAAAAAAATAGAAATTTATTAATAGCAATTCAAAATATAACTTAGAACATGTAATACAGAAAATGTTATTGATTTATCTTTCATAATGCAAACTATATGTTACTGATGATTTGTTTAATAGACTGATCATAGATAAATTAATTTCTACTATGAAAAATCAATATGAGGAGATATATTTTAGGAAAGATGTAGTGTTCACAGATTTTCATAATCGTTAAAGCTTTTCCCTTCTCCTTTTCGAAGTTTCTGAAGAACGGCTCATCAGAAAAATTTGAAACTTTCAGGACAGGTAGATCATGACAAGTAGGACAAAATTTCTTGTCTCCGATGCTATCTTCTATGAGACACTGTGGTCATAATCATCACAATTTTGGTCCCCATTTCTCCGAGATGCTATTTGATCGATTGGAAAATTTTTTTTACAGGTACTAGACACTGTTTCGGATGGATGTCTTTTTATTTTTTTATTTTTCGAATAACTAAAAACCAAAATATCAAAGGTATGCTAAAAACTGCAAGTTTTTCTGTAAGAGCTACCAACAATCAGCAGAACAATATTATTTGAAACAAAAAAACAGACCCATCCGAAACAATGTGTGATACATGTGAAAAAATGTTTCAGCTCGATCGAACTTACTAGGCCGGAGAAACGGGGCGCGTTTCTGCGCTTTTCTTCATGAAAAAGTTGGTTTGAGAAAAAACGCGATTTTTTATTTCCATTTATGTAATTTTGATTTTTTTTCTTGAACTTTCTTTTACATTTAAAGACAATTTTTGAATAATCAGTAAGTAGATACTACTTCAGACTATACAATGATCACAAGAAAAACAAAAATTTTGTATCACGAAAGAGGAGGGAAGGTACCCTGAACGGTAGGGATGGATAAGTCAATTTCTGACTAGACTAATGTCGAAAAATCGCTTCAATTCTGTTGAGATATTACCGCGTAATATTGATCTAGTGAAGTACAGAAAAACTTCCATGACACTGATTCGAGAAGTTTAGTCATCTAATCTATCAATACGACTCTTTCTACTTGAAATAAAAAAGAATTTTAAACTGAATATTGTATAAAAAGTCTTAGTCTTCCAGACAACTATGTTTTTGTGTTAATTGCGAATACATTCCAAAATTCGGAACGAAGATCAAGACATTGTATGCTCGTTTCCAAATAATTCTTCTTTTATTTTTTCATTATAAACTGATATCTGTACTGGCTGGATAGTTAACAACAGCCAGACCTTATCTACTTAGTTTACACGTCGCATTGGCGTTTATGTTATTTCGGAAGCAGCAAGTCTATGTCTCAAACTATTTCAGAGTGGGTGGATACAAATATTTCTCTTACTCACACTCACAGTCATATATATCCATCCGTACCCATCTTCAAATAAATTGCTGAGGCATTATATAGAATTTTATAGAGTTTAACGAGAATACTCAAATTAAATGTCTGTTAAAGGAAAACTACTAAATATTTCTCTTACTTATCTCCATTTTCCAAACAAACAATTGCTGGTCGTTCTAAAAGAGTTGATGCAAGATCAGAAAGTAATGCAATTGCTCCACTACAATCATTATTCACATTATGACCTTAATTTAAAAAAATAAATCTTTTGCAATATGTATATATATCTAATTTAACATACTTGCAAGTACTAATCCATTATTATCCGTAATAACAACACCAGTAATATTAGTATGTGAAGATTTAAAATCAGCAGTTCTTAAAAAAAAAACAAGTTGGCCAAAAAAGAAAAAATTAAAGAATTTTAAAAAAATATCTCACACTTTATTAATAAATCCATCGATAACTTCACCCATATTATTACCATGCATCTACAAGTCTAAAAAAATAAGTTATATCACTTTTTATAGTGCATGATGGTATGTATGATTCTTTTTTCATTCTATTCTTTCATATATTCTAGTAATATGCAATAAAAAAAAAATTATATATATATATAATCGGACATCTCGAATAATAATAAAAAAATATATATATAAGGAGAAAGAAAAAACAAGAAAAGTACAAAACTAATAAAAAATTATTTTCTTTTTCGTCGTTTTGAATTTTTTTTGATTGGTTTAATTATATCATTATCAATAATCATATTTTCTTTATTATCATTATCATCATCATCGGATATTGCCATTTGATAATCATCATCATCTTCTCGTGCACCCGTCATCCCAGGCTTTATTTTATTAATATCAATTTGTTTAAAAGGTGTACGATGATGTTGTTTTTCTAATGATTTTGTTAATAATGTTTTTGTTTTACTATCAAGTTCAATTTTATTTAAATTCATTTTTCGATAAGAATTCATTGATAAAATCATTTGTAAATCATCAGAATTAAAATAATAATTATTCATAAGTTCAAGACAATCTTTCATATTATGTTTTTGTAAAAAATAATTAAATAAATAATTAAATATAGGAAGATAATCAAGATTAAATTCTTTTCGATCTATTGTCATTGTTTTTAAAGAACAATGTGTTTCAAGTTCAATTAAATGACGATCAGTACTTTTTTGTTGTTGCATACGACCAAACCAAGTGGGAAATTGAACAACATTAAGTGAACCATGAAGATATGTTGTAGGTATTACACCAGAAAACATTGCCTAAAAGAAATCAAAAATTGAAATACAATATCAAGTTATAATTAAAACTATTGTGTATTATTTTCAAAAGAGATTGTATTGCTCGAAACAAAGTTATCTATGAAAACAAAAAAAAACAAATATTAAATGTACTGAATGAGCACATGATCCCAAAAAAGTACAAGCAGAGAAAAAACGAACAGCATTTTCCGCTTTTTCTGTGAATAACATATTTTTCAGGCGGATGTTAATAGAAATAATAATTAGTTAATAATTAATTAAAACTAACCTCAGATTCGAGTTCCCCACCTTCGATTACCCTTTGGTCAAGTTTTATGCAGAAGCAGATGTTTTTTTGACCCTGATGTTTTTTTGACCTTTGGCCCCGACAAGCAAACAAACAAACCCTTTTTGAGTTTTTTCCGTATCACTCTCCCTTCAGTCGGGGGGATAAGAAATGCCGAATAAAAAATTCATGTTATTTACGAAAGATCAGGCATCGATCTATCTTCCCATATTGACTTTTCTGAGGGGAAGGAGCTGTTGGATCTGTCTCCAACAGTTCTCAGCATCGATTCAGTTTATTTTCGAATTCACTTTTCAAATACAATTGCAGAACAGATTGTAGTTATGAAATATCAGTTCGAAATCTATATCATAGCAGGTCTTGCAATCAGACCATTTTTTGATCGATCGACTCGGCCCAACAATGGCACTATTAAAATTATATTTATTTTACAAAAAGGATTTCTACACGATGAAACTCTATAATCATTGTGATCACAAGTTGAATAAGGTCAGACAATTCTAATGCTTGAAAAAAAACTAGTATGAGAGATAAATAGAATTACTTATTGAACTGAACGAGCAAGATGTGATCGTGAATACTTCAATTTCTTGAAGACTACCATTTATTAACAAAAAACTTTCAAGAGAGTAATACTCATATCGCTTAATACAGTTGATAGTATACTTGGTCTTGTGTGTGGATGAAGAATTATCATTGAACTGAGTAAATTACTCTACTTTTATTTATTGACTAAATGAAACTTTCAAAACATTTGCATAACAAAGATTCCTGACTGATTTTCTCCTATTACACTCAGTGTACAGTATTGAATTATTCATTTTGATAATCTTAATCTTTAAATCTTCATTGATATACATACTTGATAGCCCATTAATGATCGATTTGCATTAATAAAATTAAATTTTGAACAAATATCACCAATAGCCAAACTATCAGCTGCTTTTGAAATTAATTCCATACGTTGTCGTATACTAATTGGTTTTCGTTCGATAGTTATTGATGGAACAACACGAATATAATTATCTTGTATTAATAATGGTAGTAATGAAGAATCATGAAAATAAAGATTTGTTTTATCAATTAAATTAATATTCGATAAAGAAAACATTTTCATACAAGCATCAAATGGACTTGTTGATAATGCTTTTTCAAAATTTGTTATATTTGATATTAATAATGATGATTGTTTATAATATAAATTAAGTGTATGAATAATTTTTCTTATATCTCGATTACACAAATTAATTAAATTATCAAGTAATAAATGTGTTATATGAATATGTTCACGTGAACATATATCAAGTATAAATGATTTAACATTTAAAAATGATGGTCGGTCAAATTTTATTTCATAACAATATAATGCTAATGTACGCATTTTAATTGTTTGTCGATCATTAGCAATAAATATTATTGGAATATGTGTTGTTCGAAGAAGTTTAATTAATGCTTGTATACCACCTCGATCTTCATTTCCTGTTACACCATCAACTTCATCCATTATCAATACCTAATCATATTCGAAAGGAAAGGTTTTTTTTTTTTTAAGTTAAAATTGTTCGAAATATGAGATCGTTCGAATATTGACAGAAGTTTCTGTATGACAAGATAGTTTATCATGAGAAAAATAAGTCAAATATCGAAAAAGATGCTGATGAAACTTTCTCGCTTATAACCAATAGTGTAACAGTACTTGGTACAAAATATTCGCTCATTTTCCAACCATTGATTAGAGTTAGTTAGGGTCAGAATTTTGTGCTATTTTTGAATATATGTTTAGATTTTCATTCTAAGGTAAGATTGAACAACTATCAGTAAATTTTGTGTAAAAGTTCAAAACTGTGTCTGCACAAAGCAGACCTCGAAACAGACCGTGCGATCCGAATTTTATTTCTTTTTTTCAAGAAAAATTTTCCACGTAAGAAAATAGAAAAAAAATCTGATTCTAATCAATTTATTTCTAACTAACAAATCAATTAAAATGATACTAGTTGAATTCGATAAAAACCTAATTTTTAAACTTAAAAGATAGATTTCATTTAATTTTAATCTTTCTTAATCGAATTATAAAATACAGTTTTAATCGAAAAAATTCAATTAATTGACCAAAACAAAAAGAGAGACTAAAATCAATTGAAATCTATCTTTAAAATTGAGAAATTGGATAACAATCAGAATAAAATAACGTTATTTTAATTGTGTTTTTTATTCAATAATAATCAATTTTATTTTGATTTTTCGTCAAAATGTTTTTTGCATAGATTTTGTACCTCACAATTGATAGCAATCAAGAATTTTTATTATACTAACATTTTGAAATATTTATTTAGCCAACAAATAAAAGCAGAGCATTTATTGAATTTGATGACATTCGTCATCCACATACAAGGTCATATGCACTATCAACTTCATTAAGTAGCATAAGTGTTAATGAAATGAAACAGTACTAATTGTGTACTTAAATTAACATTCTAACTAAAGAATAATAATCGATCAGACTCTTAGAAATGAATCAGTGTGCATTTTACTCTTGAAAGTTTTTTGTTAATAAATGATAATTTTCAAGCAATTTGAACATCCACAAATGCATCTTGCTCTTTCGATTCAATAAGTAATTCAACTTCTTCCTCATGCTGTCGTTTCAAGCGTTAAAATTGTCTAACTTCATTTACCTCGTGATTGCTATAATAATAAACTTTTTACAATATTCTAATAAATGACTATAGTGATTGCGGATTTATATCGTGTAGAAATCCTTCTTTGTAAATGAAATATAGTTTTAATTATGTCATTCTGAATTGGGTCGGGCAGGCACGAGCAACTTTTGGGCCGGTACGGGCCGTGCTATCAAAACGTGGTCGGATTTCGAGGTGTGGTAAACAAAATGATGTATCTATTCGATGAAACTCTATAGAATTCTGTAGATTTTCAGTAAATTTTCTGACTTTTGATCAAAACTTTTGTTGAAATAGAACACCGTTTTTATGCATTTTCTTTGAATGTTTTGCGAAGATGATGGATTTTAAAATAATTCTATCTTTATAGTATCAAATAAAAAGACATTCGTAGTTCTACTCTTTCGAGTTCTATTGCAGTTATCGAGTTATTGAACTTACATTCATTCTTCTTTAATTCTAGCCATGACCTGAATGAGAACGAAGAATCCAGTGCAATTTCGATATCTTAAGAATAAAAATCCAAAAACCAAACCATTCTAGACTTTTCTATTATTCATTAAATAAACATCATCCTGGTCAAAAAGTGATTTGACATCTGAAGAGATTCTCTCGTGAGCTATTAAAACCTGTTTCGTACAATCACTATTTGGAATCTTTAGAAACAATCTAATCATGGTTGTTTAATCTTACTATAGGAAGAAATTTTGAACAGATATTCAGAAAAAGCAAAAAATTCTGATCTGGCTCTAATCAGTTATCTTTAAGTACTCAAAAAATGAATCAATATTTTGTATCAAAACTTTTCTTGCCATCGGTTAGTAAAAGTGATTCTACTACTAGATCTTACATGTTTATTCATTGCTTGATTATCATCAGTAAGATAAGCTGAATTGAGTTCGATTTTGCTCATCATTGTTTGTGATCGATTATCTGATGCATTTTGTTCAATATATGGTAAATTTAATGCTTTACAAACAAGGTGTGCTGTTGTTGTTTTACCTTAGATTCAAAAATTGAATATTATTTTTCTTATTAAAATATTTTTAAAAGAAAATAACTTACCTACTCCTGGTGGACCAGTAAGTAAAACAGCTTTAAATTTAGATGGATCACTTGATGTAGTATTTGTAGATATTGTTTCTGTTTTTTTTCTTTTATTAGTTAATGGTTTTGCATGCCATGTATGCCAATTTGTAAGAAAATAAATGAGTTTTTTCATTGGTGATTTATCAGTTTGTTGTCCAACAATTTGACTTAATGATGTTGGTTTATATTTATCTACCCCTTCATAATAAAATAAATATTAAAAAAAGAATGGTATGTCTTGATTGTATAACTCACATAACATATCATCATCTTGTCTATAAAATTTTAATTTTGTTAATGAAATTGGTACAAATGAAGTACTATCGATAGGTTTTAAAACAGTAGGTTTTGGTGATTTAATTGAAGTTGATTTAATATCGACTTTCGTACTTCCTGGTCGTGTTCGAATCATTTGAAGTAAATCATCTTCGGAAATAATTTTAATACGAAGTTTTTTAGCTTTTTCAATTTTTGTTTTTCCTTCATCACGTCCAGCTACAAGATAATCAGTTTTACCACTAACAGCAGTTGTAACTCGACCACCATAACTTTGAATAATTCTTTTACATTCATCTCGTTCTAATGATGGTAAAACACCTATTAAATAAAAATGATAAATTTAAATAATAGGACAAATAAAAATAAAATCTTAATACCAGTAATAACAAAAGTTAATGATTTAAGACAATCTTCAGCACCTTGAGGAATATCTTTAGAACCAGGTGCATCTGGTCCACCTCGATTAAGAAAACTTTTATAAGCCATAAATTGTCGCTGTCGTACTTTTGGATCAAGTTGTTTAGCAGTTGGTGCAGCTGTTATTGTAGCAGCTTCAATAATAGCATCATCATCAATATGTAAATATTTTTTTGAAATCGGTAATGATTCGTTAGTTTTAAGTTTACGCTAAAGATAAAAAAAAAATATATATATATATGCAATTCATCATATTAATTGAATAAAATCATACTTTTTTGCCTTTGGATGACATAATTGATTTTAGTCTTAAAAAAAAAAAATCGTATCGAGATTTGAATTTTTATTATTTGTTGATGAATGATTATGTTTGAAAATTTTATTCTCTTATTATCATTCGACTATAAACGAAAGAGGACGAACAAAAAAAAAAAAAAACAACGGTCGATCGTAATCGAGGTCTTATATTGTGAAATTCAAAACATTTTTCATTGGCGATAGATTCGCAACGTGCGACTATTAATTAGATATATTATCATTGATACCCCCTCGAAAATTTCTCGATATGATGACTTCGAATAGAACGAATATTTTATTCAATTTTAGATTTGTGAATCAGAGTTCAATGAGTTTATTAAAATTTATACCATCAACATCAACACTTTCCGATAATCTTATAATCTATTCAACTGGATCAATACCAATTATTACAAAAGAACTTAATTTAAAACAAACTTTATTAGGTGGACAATCATTTCGGTAATTATTCATATTTATTAAAATATATTTGACATTTGCTTTTTTTTTTTGTTTGTTTAACAGATGGATTGAACAAAATTCAAATGAATTTATTGGTGTTCTTGGTACATATATTGTTCGTTTACAACATCAAAATAATAATCTTCGTTACACATTTTTTATAAATAATGATAATCTAATAAAATTATCGAATGATAATGATCGTCGTGTTGAAACAGCACTTATTTTACATAATTATTTTCAATTAAAAATAAAACTTTGTGAATTATTTGACAAATGGTGTAAATCTGATATGAGATTTGAAAAAGGACAAATACCAATTGGTATTCGTGTTTTAGCACAAGAACCACTCGAAAATTTAATATCATTTATATGTTCAAGTAATAATAATGTTCAACGTATATCAAAAATGATTAAAGTATTTTGTGATGAATATGGAAAAAAAATTGGAACATTAAATGGAATTACTTATCATCAATTTCCAACTCTGGGTATATTTTCTAATAAAAATTTTAAAACATAGATTTTCATATTTCTTTCTAGAAAATGTTTTACAAAAAAAAAATTCCTATTTAAATAAAACTAACTTGAATTCAATCTTAGAAATTTGATAATATTTAGTATGTTGAATACAATTTAACAAAGAATTTTACTTGAGTAATCTTTGTACACATATCGAAGTTTTGATTTCATTCATAAAACATCGAATTATCTTCATTCTTTTTCCTATTCGAAAGAGTAAAAGTCGATATAGTAACACATGGTATTCACACAACACTCTATCAGACATCTTATATGTTCAGTGACAGACAAAAGTTTAGAGAAGTTATATTTTTAAGTTTTCTTCTTGATGGTAATAGCTAGCAAGAATTTGAAAAAAAAACATTTTGTGTACCTGAAAGAATTTTCTATTAAGATTGGTAGATCCGAAGACTTTAACAAAACTGCTTCGACGAGGGTCTACAGAAAACCACGACTTTCAAAACAGCTTTCTGACTTACATTCGAAGCTATTGAGAAAAGATTTTATTTGATAGAAGAAAATGATACGTCCTCAATCGCTCCATGATCTTCTTTCATCGAACTACATTCAATTTACAAAAGACTCACGAAACATTTTACTCTTCTTTTCATTGAAAATTTTAATGTTTTTGCCATGTTTGACGCTTTGGAATCTCTGTAAACTGAGTGCAATTTGATGACGGAAGATCATAGAGAGATCGGAGACGTTTTATCTTTTTTAGAAGCATGTACTTTATCAAACAAAATCTTTTCGAAAAAAGCTTTGAACGGAAGCCAGAAAGCATGTTTTCCACGAAACCTTAAACAAGCAGTTTTGTTTGAGTTTTCAGGCCTACCAATCCTAATAGAGAATTATTCCAGTTACATAAAATTTTTTTCAGATTCTTGTGATTGTTGTCATCAAGAAGGAAACTTAAAAATACAACTGCCCTAAACTTTTGTTCGCCATTATACATACACAGTGGCTTCAAAAATTGATCATATAGATTGAATTTCGATTTTTTTTTCAGTAGTAGTAACTTGTATAAATAATTCAAATAGTCGCTTGAATAGCCAGAACTCGAAAATAAAAGTTTCTCTTGATTACATTGAGCGACATAAAAACTAATACTCTATAAAAATGACACGTCTCCACAACATTTTTTGACTGAATTACATAAGTTCTAAGAGAAGTCCAAAAGTCCTCCTTTTCCAGTTTTCCCTTGGGAAATGGTGAAAAAAAAAACATTTTTAAACGTTTCTTAATACCGATGTAGTTTCAGCAAAAAGATACTGTATAGAATTCAGAGACGTCTCATGTTTTAGAGAATCAGTTGCCCTACTGCTCTGTGCATTGAAAAGAAATTTTCATTTTCGAATTCGGGATATTCAAGTCACTATTTGGATTCTTTATGCAAGTTATCGTTATGAAAAAAAATCGAAATGAAATCTGTATAATCAATTTTTAAAGCCATTGTGCATGTATTTTCTAACAAGGGGAGACACATCAATCGAACTAACATTTTGTCTGTAAGTAAGTCTCGATGAGACTAGTGGAAATCAATAAGAGTTTGTCTCCATGTACTGTCTTTCCCAATTTATTACAATTTGATTGAAAGTTTTTATATCTGACAAAGTATTTGTGAAAAAATTGAATTATGGAATTTCAGTTTGAAATTTAACCCATTGATTGGTCTCGTGTGCATTAAGATGCTATGAGAATTCCAGTCTGAAAGGGATGTGTCCTTTGAATATTCAAAAAACAATCATGTGTCGTCAGGAAAGGTAATTCAACATTCGATATCTCAAGAATAATATATTCTTTTGAACTGGAATTTCCAAGGCATTCTTATGTTCACAAGACATACCTATGAATAAATTTTGTGATTGACATTTGGTAAATCAATTTTTTCATAAATACCTCGCCAGCCGTAAGAAATTCAATATAATTGTAATAACTTGAAATGGATGGAGCATGGAGACAAAGTCTTATAGGCTTTTACTAGTTTCGTCGAGAACTACTAATATGCAAAATATCAGTTCGATTGGCAAATCACACTTAGAGAATTTCCCTCGTAAGACTTTTCAAATAGAACATGATCTAACGTTCTGTTTTTAAGAAATATATTCGATGCTTGTGCTGAGACATTTTTTTTGTAACTATTAAGAAGAAAATTTCTATAATAATTATTCTACATTTATCTAGATGAACTCGATATACCAGATCTTGAAAAACGTTTACGTGAATTAAATTTTGGTTATCGTGCACGATATATTCAAGAAGCAGTTAAATTTCTCAAATATACTGCTGGTGGTACGTTATTTTTTGATCGATTAAAAACATTATCAGTTAAAGAAGCTCGTAATCAATTATCAAAAATGATGGGTGTTGGTCGAAAAGTAAGACATTTTAGTTAAAATTATGATTTCAAATAATATTTAGGTTGCTGATTGTGTTCTATTAATGTCACTTGGTAAGCAAGATGTTGTACCAGTTGATACACATATTCATTCAATTGCTATGACCCATTATGGACACTATAATGAAAATGTAAAAAAACAACAATTAACTACAGCTAATTATAATGATATATCATCGTTTTTTGAACAATTTTGGCAACCATTATCTGGTTGGGCTCAAGCTGTATATAATCTTTTCATTTTTTTTTCTTCTTCATACGTTCATATTTCATTTTTTAAAAAGGCTGCATTTTCTAATGAACTTCGTTTATCATCTACTCCAAGAAATAGTGTTAAATCATCTGTATTATCATTAAAACGCTCGATTAGTAGTCAAGATATTCTTACAGAAAAATTATTTAAAACAATCGATGAAAATAATCAATGTCAATCAATAAAAATAACTATGAAACGTGATAAATTACGTCAAAAAAATTTATTAACAATTGAACCAAATAAAGAAATATTAACACGACCTAAACGAAATATTAAACCGATAGATCGATTTTAGACAAAAAAAAAGAAGAATTTTTTAAGTTAAAATCGATTTTTTTTCTTTTGTATTAATTTATTTTTTACATTTGTTAATAAAAGTTTGAATTTCTATATTATTACAAAGACTATCATATTCTTTCATAAATGATCAAAGAGTTCCGAGTACTCTGTAATATGTTCTACTTCTATAGGATAGAATAGAATTTCTTGAAAGACAAAACGAAAAACTTTTTTTTTTCTTGTATCGAGAAGAATACAGGTTACAAAACGATTCATATTACATAAGAAGTATTTTCTTACAAATACAAGAAAAAAAAACCATAATCATTTTACAATAATGAACAAAAAAAAAGATGAATGTTCGTAAAAGGATATCAAATAAACATACGTCAATATAAACATGATTCTAACAACCTTTTTCTAAAGAAAGTTTTTCACGAGAAAAAATGGTTTCTATGACCTATTTCTCCTTTTCTTTTGTAAAGAATTTTCTTTTTATCTTTTATTAATCAAAAGTTAAGTATTTTATATTTATAAATTATGATTAGTTTTTTTTTTAAATTGAAATATTTTGTATTTTTTTTTATCGTTCTCATAAATCTATCTTACGTATTTACTCATACTTAACAGATAAAGAAAAATTCCAGATGTTAAATTTTCTATGATGAGAAAAAAAAAAGAGAATACTACTGAATTACTATTGTTACTCTATTTGATACAAAAACTACATCGTTGACAAATATTTATACAAAAATTAAAAAAAGCGATATTCTTTGACAAAAAAAAAAGATGCTTATAGAAAATTCTATGAAAAACATGAATAAAGCTGTTTTTAGATATCAAAATCAAGTTTCATTATACAAATTTTATTTCTCTTTCGTAACATATCTTGTATGTAACCATTTCAATCTTAGTACAATTTAAACAATTATAATCCTTATTTGAAATCGCATAAGAATTTATTTCTTAATGCCATTGACAACTAATGCACTCTATAATAATCTTTTTCACTATTGGTTTGAAATAGAACTAGTTGTCAATTATTAATTATTGTTTATTATTTATTTGTCATCGAATGGACGGACCGTTGAATCGTATAGGACGACGCATATTCTGTCGGAAAAAAATGAAAGAAGAAGAAGAAGGAATAAAAAAGCCCAAATGAATGAATCAAATATTGTGTTATTGTATGCATGGTTGCACGTTATCAATATATATTTATTTACTCATTTCTAGATGTAACTCCGAATTTATTGAGTATACTTATGTGTGTATAAATATACATACACATATAAATTATTATATGAAAATAATTTCAAACTAGAAACAAAATATCAGTATGATGTCTAGGGGAATAAAATTACCATTTAAATTGGGCGATTCAAAAAAAATTAATGAATTTGAAATCAATGAAACATCAAAAAAAGAAGATTTTTCATTGAGCGAAGTAAAAAAAGAATTTTTCATTTTATTTAAAAAAAGTATATATACATTTTATTATTTATTAGATTGTACGTTATGGTTTTCCTTATCAACCAACAGCACTTGCTTATGATTCTGTACAAAAAATTCTTGCGATTGGAACAAAAAATGGTATTGTTAAAATGTAAGTCTATTTTCTATAATAAAAATTCTTCAATTAATTATTTGTTTATTAAAAAATAAAAACAAGTTATGGTGGTGCATTTGTCGAATGTACATTATCACATCCAAGTGAAGTTGAAATAGTCCAACTAGTATTTCGTATAAATGAGGTAAATTTACAAAAAGTAAAAAAAAAAACCAGAAGAATAACGTTTGATATGTAGGGTGCATTGATAAGTGCATGTCGAGATAATTATATTCATTTATGGAGTTTACGTCAAAAGCAACCAGTTATTGCCAATTCACTTCGATTCGTTAAAGAAAAGTAAAGATTTGTTTATTTAATTTTTTTTTTCTGTACTCTATTTTACCAACAAAACGACTTTATGCACATTGATGTCGTACAATGTATTTTTGTTTGCGCATATGATGAGTTAAACTAACTCTCGTTCTCATCTCTCATGAGATATTGGTCCCTCTGAATATTTTATCATTTATTTATGTTTCCGATCGGCTAATAGGAAATTGCTTTTTTCTCTTCCTCGTTTTCTTTTTTTTGTTTTTAATACAACTATTCACATAATAACGTTAAGAAAATCTTCTTTGTTTACTTGATATTCACCTATAAAAATTAAAAGAAAAAAAGAAAAAAAAATCTTAAATTTAATAAAGTAATAATGATATTCACTCAAATAGATTTATTAGCAATATGACATAGAAGAAAAGAACATTATCATTCTCTATGGAATAGGATATTAACTAGTTTTTTTAATCAAATATATTTTTTGACTTGTATATATGATGTGTTAATGGTTTAACAACATAACTTGTATTTATTCTATAGAATTAGTCGATGTCTTCTTCCGCTTACTTTTAATTCCAAATGGCTTTTAGTTGGTACATATTTTGGAAATGTTTATGTTGTTAATCTTGACACATTTACACTTTCATCATATAAAATTATGTGGAATAATGCTATTGGCATGTATGCATTTGAACATCAATTTATTT